AGATGCATTCGCCGGCAATTGTTTGTTGATAACTACGCAATAAAATCTAAAGGTTGCAGGTGTGTTTAATTTTATTACTCATTTCATTTAACAAAAAAATCATAAATATAATAATAATACAATTGAAAAAAGAAAACTCACTAAGGGTTCGGTACTGTGCACCCACATACACTTTCCAGTGTGGACGGTTGCAGAGAAACTCTGGTTGCTTCGGGACTGAACTTGATGATTCGGTTGCGTTTAGACCAGAGTTAGCCTACTGGTTGGGGAGCCAATCCATTTCCCTCACACGTGTTGATCGCTCGGCAAACTTTGTCACCTTGGGGTTATGAAATCGAAGCTCTGTTTGTCCGTTCAATGATGGTATTTTTTTGAATAACACTTTCATTCATTCATTTCCAATTGAAGATAGCCACGATTACAACAAATCATATATAACATTGAGCACATGAATCCACTCATGATGAAGAGCATCAAGACGACAATTCTTTGCCACCCAATCAGCACACTTATTGTTTTTACGGCTGATGAAAGAGATCCTAATCCTTTCCTCTAGATGCATGATTCTTTTGATAGCTTCTAGTGATGCATAACGTCTCCATGGCCATGTCCCATGTCGAAGGACAACCATTGATAGCACCCACAAGAACCTTGCAATCAGAGTAGACAACAGTAGGGGACCTTTCCTCGAAAGCACACTGGCACGCTTCAAGGATGGCTAGTGCCTCAGCTTCAATCGGAGATGAACAAATAATCCTTACAGCCTTTCCGTTTCATATCTGTCCGTTGGGGTTAGTAATAACTACTCCAAAAGTCGCCTCCTGCGTAGCATCATCAAAAGAGCCGTCGTAGTAAATCCTTTTGAGAGGAAAAAATGGCGGTGAACCTGATTGAGAAGGAGGGTCCCTAGGCTGTATAAAGGTTGCGGGAGAAGGAGGTGTGTAGTGGGGTTCCACTGCATCCCGCAACACACAGATAGAGGTCATCGTCGGGGATGGGACAACTTTCCTGAAGATGAATTCATTGCGAGCTTTCCATATGTTCCACATGCAAAAGATCTTATGTCGGCAAAAATCAGCGCTATCATCGTCACGAAAGGAGAAAATCCACTGCGAAATGTTAATCGGGAAACTGATGGATGGGAACAAAATCTGCCAAGTTGCTTCCGCATGAGCGCACGAGAACAAGCAATGGATTGCAGACTCCTCTCCTCCATTACACAGTTGACAAGTCGTATTGGGAGCACACCGCCGTCGAAAAAGGTTAGAGACGCGCTTTTGGTCACGAGTGGGCTGAATAGCCAAAAAGCAGTTTTGGGGTTTGGATTGTGATTTGACGGGACTGCAAGAGGCGACAATGACAGTCAAGATAGAAAAAATGGGGAATGGAGAGCTAGACTGACCAGGGTGGCTTAAAAAAGCACTCAACCTCTACCTCTTGGTCTTCTCGATGGTACTTGAGTGGGAAGCAGAAATTGACGGATTCGAGGAGTAACTCTTTAGTTTTGGCCACTCATCTTACCTAACTCGATTAGTTTTTCTATGATATTTTTATTAGTTTCCGTCACCACTCACCAGAGAAGCACCATCTTAATAGGAGAGAGAGGGTCAAGAGTTTTTCCTTTTAGTCGCTTCTTGCTCCTTTGCTATCATACCACCATCTTTTTAATTCTCTCAGATCTTTTTTCTACACTGCTTCTCTTATCTTTGTTGATTCCACTCTTTTGGTTTTTTTGCAGCTGATGCGGAGGTCAAAGTGATCGTTGGCGAACTTTTTAGCTAGGAGGTTTCAGAGGAGAGCTACATTCACATGTTCTACTTTAATTTCAGGTGATTGTACTACCCCATCTCTTTCTCCCACAATTTACCCCTCTTATCATTAATGGGTTGTTCGATCTATTCCAGGAGGAACGACAGGTTATGGCTTGTCTTCAGAAATACCGGTCCCCAGAGTGGTCGTTGAGTTGCGAGATCAAAACCGGTAGAACTAGGGAAGTCACTGGATGGCAAACCGGCTCGATCGTTACGCCTTCGTGCTTTTGGTAGGTTGCTTTTTTCACTTTGATTTGGGTGCTTTTCCCTTTTTGGTTCTGGTGTTAGGTTTTATGTGGTCTGTTATTGATTCTTATCGCCTTTATAATTTTGGGCGTTCTCTTTGATTCTACCAAGATTTAGTTAGAACGAAGAAGATAAGAGCCTAGGGAAAATAAAATGCATTTAATTGACAGTTTTTAGATCTGAATTTTCTGGACCCATTTAGATCTAAAGGTCCAGATTTAGTTTCGGACCCTATCCTAAGCCTGATTAAGCATAGGATTTTGACAAGTAGACATAGGATTTCAGCAAAGTTTTATTGGGTTGAATTTTTGGGAACAAATCACTCGCACAAATATTCACTTTCTTTCCGGAAGAAATGCATGTCCGTCCATGGGCTTTTGGTTGACCTTCCCTTCTATTTCCCCATGAGCTTTTCGATTTGGCCCATATCTTCCACATTTTGCGAACCGATGCAAAATCGAATTTGTCGGAAGATGATGGGGTGGAAAAAAAAAAAAGAAAGGAAAACTGACTGAGAAACCTCCCAAAATCTCAGTATCGCCGAAGTAGCCGTAGAAGAGCGACATCCGACGAGTCGACGACGAGGGTACAGAAAGGAAGTTAACCAAATTTCATTTCTGCGCATAGTTCTCATTTCATCGCACTCCCAGGTTTCTCTCTATTTCTCTCTATGCCGTAAAATTAAGCATTGGAATGGAGAGATCTGTAGTCGGAAAGAAAAAAGCTTTACATTTGCATCGATCCGTCATCGAAATGGATTAATTCGTTCTCTTCCAATTTGCTTCCAACTATGTTTGTATGTGGTTTGTGATCGACTCCAAAATGAATCCGAATCAGAATCGGGCTATGGCAGCAGCATCAGCAACAATTGCAGAATCCAAGCCGTTTGAGGATTCATTTTGTGGAGGTGGAGCTGGTTCTGTTACAGGAGGAGGACTCATTCGAGGCGGATTGGGTGCTTACGGCGGGAAAATTCTCGGCTCTGGTTCCGACTATGTCCAAAGCAATGTAAGCATCATCATATTTCATAAACCCTAAGAAGAATTCATCAATGAAATCCTGAAAAGGGTTTTCTTTTAATTAAGTGGCTTTGCTTTCAATTTACGGAAAACAGATAAGCAAATACTTCTCAGATCCACAGTACTACTTCCAAGTGAATGATCATTATGTCATCAACAAATTGAAGATCCTCCTCCTTCCTTTTCTCCACAGGGTAACATTACTATATTGCTTCTCTTTCAATCCTTTGTCACTTTCCATGTTACAATAACAAGTTTGTTGTGTAATTAGGGGCACTGGACTAGGATCACGGAGCCAGTCGATGGCAGGCTATCCTACAAACCACCGGTTAACGACATCAATGCACCAGACTTGTACATCCCATGTATGGCATTCGCCACCTACTTGGTCCTCGCTGGCATATCCCTCGGCCTCTCCGGCAAGTTCAGCCCAGAGGCATTGAACTGGCAGTTTGTGAAGGGGATGGTTGGATGGGTGACTCAAGTGATGCTGCTCAAGGTCTCGCTGCTGTCGCTGGGAGGTGGGGAGGCTCCTGTGCTGGACGTGGTGGCGTATGCTGGGTACACCTTCACGGGGATGTGTATGGCTTTGCTGGGGAGGATCGTGCTGCGATACGCTTACTATCTCATCATTGTGTGGACTTGTCTGTGTATGGCGTTGTTCCTGGTGAAGACGATGAAGCGGACCTTGTTTGCTGAAGTCAGGTGTTTTGATCCTAGCAGGCATCATTACCTCTTGCTTGGGATTGCTCTCACTCAGTTCCCACTCATCTTTTGGCTCAGCAACACTTCTGGCAACTGGGCTTGATCCAAGTGATTGCTGCTGCTGCTGATGATGGTAGCTACTTAGTTCGATTTCTATTGATCTTACTCTCACATTCTTTAATTCTTCTGTTCTAATTCTTCTGTTCTTTTTTCTTCTGATAGTTGTTTCGTGGATGCTTGCTTCTCGTAAGGGAAGCAGGGGAGAGGTCAGAATGTAATAAACAAAGTAATGAAAAGTACCAAATTTGTTATGGTCTGGCAATAAAAAGGTAGAAACTTTGTTGTTTACCGAAGAGTATAATTGAAGGAAATTTCTTCTGGGTTGGTTTTGATTCTCAGTTGTCACCAAATGAAAACAATCCTCTGGTTCTTTGAACTATAAGGCTTGGCTTCCTATTCTTCTCCTTCTCTTTTCATCCAATTAAAACAGACAAACCACTGAGATCTTCACGTCTGTACACTCTGCCACTAGAGTAACAGTTTCATGAATGAGTTTTCCTACCTGTCTTCCCTGTCCAGAATCACGTGATCATCTCTGTTTCAAATGTGCCTACACGCAGGCAGAAGTTGGTGAGCTATGCTTACCCTTTTCCCTGGAACTATAACACAAAAAGCTGGAGGGCAGGAGGGGATGATGGAGGCAACAGAAAGCTTCAACGCTTGCAAGGTCGGCAGATTTGTTTGGAACATGGTGATAAGTGAAAATATGACGTGAACGTTGCAGGGGGTTGTATGGGAGCCTCAATGTAGTATGCAGAAGATCATGGAATGAAAGCTGATTGGCGAGTCTGAGGTAGCTATATTGCTGTTAGGAGCAAGAAACTTTGGTTCCAAAATAAAAGAAAAAAAATCTATGTTCGTTGCTTGGTCTTATATAAATCTCGAATAGGGTATGTAGAGGTTGGTATTAGATGTAAATTTTGTTCTGTTTTGATGTAACAGAGGATATAAACTGAACAACAGATCAGAACCCAGAAATATAAACTGAGAAGAGAATAGATAAGGGAAAGAAGGTCCCTCCCTATATATTGGACAATGATTATGCCCCTTATTCTGCACATGACATTTTGGAGAAGGATAATGGTCTGTGCTACATGCAACAAATTATTTCAATCGAGTTTTTTTTGCTAATTACTAACAAAAAAGCTCAATTAAACCATTAATTAAGCATGCCTTCCAGCCATATACTCATCCTTATTCTTTGCCTCCCATCTTCATCTTCGTCTGCGGTTAATAAAGCTTGGAATCTGTTCGCTAGACGAGTGACCTTATTACCATCATGTTGCTGATGCTGCTTTTTGCTAATATTGCTCTTCCTCTTCGTTGCCTTTGCGACGTACACCGCCGACCTAGGTTTTGCCTGCTCCAACACCCTTTCTTGATCTTTTCTGTGCTTTTGGATATCCCTTCGTTCCAATCAAATTCGACATAGCTAGCTTGATTAGTAAATAACCTAGACGAGGAGGTAAGTAAATATCATTGCATGTCAAAATTAAATGCTTTAATTACCAGGGCATGGGGAGAAACCAAAAAGTACGTGCCTTCCTCCCCACAATCATTCTGTCATCAGGATCAGAATTACAAAGCCTCTCAACCCATTGGTTCTCCAGATTGAACATGCCACAATCATTGCCATATTCATTGGAGCGATAGTCCTCAAAAACGAAGTAGATGCGGTTTCCTTTAACCCCATTGTTGAGCGGATCCGCAGGAAGGCAGAACGACTGGTGAGACCCCAAAAACACGGCGTGTCCATCCAGGTTGGCCACTTCTGCCCAATGATAACTGCCCTTATCGTCTCCTCCGCCTCTCAGTACAAGCTTGTACACCTCGAATTTGAGCTTGGCGTCCGGGTCAGTGCCCCTGTACCACTCATAACTGTGGCTCAGGATGACGAGGAGTTCACCTCGGAGGTTGGCCAAGTGGTAAGAGGTCGTCTGGTGGTCGCTAAAAGCATCTCTGGCGCACCAGCTCGAACCGTACGACAAGTCCGGAGAGAGCGGGAACACCCTCACGGAAAGATTACAGCTAATCAGGCCGTCCACCACGGACACGTGCTCTCCGTCCACCAACACGTACAGCTTCCCTCCCAAGTAGCCCATGTCAACCCGCCACGAGTACCGAATGTCGAAGGTTCGAGACTCGTGGCTCGCGAATCTCCAGCTTCCTTCCATCTTGGTGTCATCATCCTTGGCAACACCCGGCCAGTTGGGGCGTGGAGTGGAAGAGAACGATGACGTGGCAGCTAATATCGTCGTCGTCGGGGGAAGAGGTGATGAGTGCTTTGAGGATGTCGGTGTGGTGGGCGGGGAAAGGGAGAGGAGGGAGAGGGATGGAGGACTTGGTGATCGGGTTTAAGAGGTAGAAGGTGACGTCGTGGCGGCGTGGGTGGACGATGAGGATCCACCCGTCTTTGGAGGCGACGTAGAGCTGAGATTGGATAGCGGAGCCAAGGTAAGAGCGGTCGTCGAAGTCGAGGTAGATCTTCTTGTGGCGCTCCGATTCTCGTTGGAGGTGGGATACTTGGGATAGGGATGGGAAGTGAGGGAGCATCACCCGCGGCAGCCGCCTTCTCCTTCTTGTCTTGGTGGTTCTGCTTGTTCCAGCTGCTGGTACTGTTGTTGGCGATGGAGTAGTTATTGGCTGCATGGTGGTGGTGATGATGAGGGGAAGGAAGTCGTGTGGTGGCCCGCAGTAGCGTGAGGGCGCGGGGGGTTCCGGCAGGATAGCGGCGGCTTGCGAGATGAGGAGGCCCGGAAGCTGCATGGACTGGAGCCGGCGGCGGCAGTGTGGCAGAGCGGCGGATCTCCATGATTTGCACACTCCGGAGAAGGAGAGCAAGTGAGAGATCGCGTTTAAGTGATGGGTTGCTAGCTTTTCTAGTATGTCCACCGGCAATCCGGAGTAATCCATTTGGATCGGATCGAGAACAATAATGTATACTACGTATATACTACAGCCACTAGCTAGGGTTTCCTGAATCACGGGGAAACAAAATTAAACAAAAAAGTTGAATCAGTCGATGGATTTGATATATCCTAACAACAATGAGAGACCGCTTGCTTGTAAATCAAAGTGCGCTAAAATAAAAACCCTAAAAATGAGTGAAGTTTCTAATGAGAAGATTCGTGGAGCTAATTAGGGCACAAAGAGAACCGTAAATGACGAGCGTGCATGGAGGTGATAGACGAGAGGAGTAGAAATGCTTACCGGCCGGGGAGATCGAGCGCGCCAGTGCAATGCAAAAAGATGACAGAGAAGGGACGTGAATCTGGTGCGCTGGAATTGGAGGAGGACGAAACCCTTATGGGTCGTTTGGATTAGAGATTGTAATGAGAGATTTCTGCAGGATTTTAAAACAATCCCTCATTATGCAGGATTTTAAAACAATTCTACGTTTGGATAAATGAGAGATTGTAAGTATCAGGGTTTTTGAAATCTCTCGAATGAGAGTTTTTGAAATAGCTTATAGGCATCAGCTATTTCAGAATCATTCATTTTTTTATCATTCTTTCCAAACTTTGTCCCTCCCTCACTTCGTTCTTTCCTTCTTCCTTTCTTCTTCATCCTTCATTCTCGCATCCCCGTCAACCCACAATCTCTTCATCGATCTCCTTCATTCTTCCCTTCTTTCTTCCACCCTGAAACCAGATCATCCTTTCCTCAAAGTTTGTTGTCGCCGCCGGTCGGCTTCTCCATCCAGACTAATTCTCCTTCTTCCTCTCCTTCGGCAAAAGCATATGATTAGATTTCGAGATTTATGGGGGAAAATGGGATTATGGGGCTAGGTTGCTCTGCGCTGGAGTTCTGGGTTCCTCTCTTGTTCATCATTCAAGCCCCTCATTTCGTCGGTACTCTATCGTTCTGGAACTCTCAATCTCACCGGAAGAGGCAAACTAATCAGATCTGGAAGAAGACGAACAGATTATTCTCAACGGCTCCTGGACAATTGGGTCGCGTATTGGTGAGCACTCGATGAAGGCTGAAAAGGAGCCCGACCGATCCCGCCGTCCACTGATTCAGGCTTTCTGTTCTTAAATGGTTATGGAGTTCTGGGTTTGAAACCCATAAACCCAGAAGAACGGGGCGAAGGATGAAAGGGTATCCCATGACTAGTTGAGATCCGCTCACCAAAGCCTGTCACGAAAGCGGCAGAGATGGCTATTGTTTTTGGTCGATCGCTGCTGGATTACGGTGGAATGAGAGAGGAAAGGGAGGAAGAAGAAACGCAACAAAAGAGTTGGGGTAGGGTAAAATTGTAATTTTGTTTTTCTAGTTAAAATCAATTGTCAATTCCCAAACAAGTTATTTGGGTAAAATCCCACAATTAGAATTCCTGGGTTTTTAATCGAGAGATTTAGGGCCAAATCTCTCATTTTTAAATTTCCTAATCCAAACAACCCCATGATTTTTTTCCGGGATGTAGTTACGAATTTACGGCTGCATTTTACATTTACGAACGGTTCGACCCATCCATCAAGCTGTCTTTTTTTTTTTAGTAGGAAAGACGGAGAGATTTGCACCGACGATGAATTGTTGATGTTGTGATAGAAGTACAGCGGCTAAGACAAGATTTTAAATTTGTGGCATAATTTTGTGATGCATAATCATAATCATGTATAACCTGTAACATCAACGTGATATTATTATTTTGAAAGGTTTTAATTTTTTTCTCTTTGAATTTTAACGGGTTATATATCTTTCATTTTTAGTTGGAATTCAAATTTTTTTACAAATAAATCAGTTTAATTATGCTCTTCAAAATTATATTTTTATATTTTTTTTAAATAAAAAAGTTGGGGGCATTTAGTATTGGTCTATACCATGGTGGTATTATTTGGTATTACATAAGAGCATATCACGTGGCATGGAAGGAGCACTTCTACTATGCTATATAATATTATAGTATTGATGCTTTAATTTACATCTTTAGGTTATACCATAACAATAAATGTATAAGTTTAGTGATAATTGTCGAAAATATATCGATTCCATGTGCTTAATGTGATTATTTCATAATATGTTTGAGACCTATAATACTTGTTTGAGGTCCAACTAAGCCTGGAATGGTTATAAAACCATTACCATCAAGTGCCAAATGTTTTATATATTTCAGGTAAATGAAACGAGAAATTTGTATTGGTGGATAGAATAATTCAAGTGGACTGGATGTACATTGGACCGGAACTTACTGAGGAGTTGAACCGGGACTGGAAATAATGGGCCGAGGGAATTTTTGGAATGGCTTGGGACGGAATCAATAAGTGAGAGGGATTTTTATTGGCCACAGATAATGGGCCACGGGGACTATTCTTTTGGAGGGGAGCAGGGGAATTAAGGGGAACAAAGGCACAAAAGGACGGAAGCTAGGGTTGGATATATCTAGGGCGGAATTTTATTGACAGGGAGGAATTGGAGGGTTTTTTTTTTTGTAGGGGAATTCTCTGGAGAGGAACACGGGGACGGAAGCTCTTTTGGGACGGAACATAAATCTTCTTGGGGAATTCTTTTGGCGCGGGCAGCTGGAGAGAAAAGAAGCAGCTGGAGGTAGGGACAGAATTTATTTGGAGAAGAGGAGGCAGCAGCGCGGGAGAGAGCAGAGGGCGCAGCGCAGCAAACGCGACCAGGCGATTTACAAATCGGCGATCGAGATCTCCAAGGCAACTTGAGCGTAGTTCAACGAGAGCGATTAGTTAGTTGGATTTTCTCAACCAAATTAGTTGTTATTTGTTGATTTAGAACATGATGATCAAAACCCTATTGTTTTACCTCAATTTCATCATGAACTAAGCCCCGATTTCTGGGGGAAACACCATAGGATGTAGCTATTTCTTGATTTGATGGATTGATTCATGATTCTTTTCCTCCAATCTCTATTGCATGAAATTACTTAATGCTTTGTGTTGACTGGCCACCAATACAATGAATCGTAGTTAATTAGGTTATTAGAGACAGTGAAACCCTAATAAATGAACCTATTTCATATGACATAGTAACTTATCGAAGCGACAGTGGATTAAATAAGGTGCTATACGGTCTTAAATAGGATATCGTTCTTCAGGCTATATAGTTAATTCATTGAGCTACGACAGTAGGATTTGAATTAATTGTTTAGTACGTAGTAATTCCTGACAGGGATAGCTAGCACATTCGTGATATCCTGGCTGTAGAGAGTTGGATTAAATTGATTGAAATATGTGAATTAATCTGGATAGGATAGGTAGTGAATCTCGGTGTTTCTCCCAGAGCTTTCTCCATTGAATTTCTCCCGACAGTTTTCATTTAGTTAATTTGTTTATTTTATTTTGCTTTTAGATCATAGTTTCATCTCATTAAATATTTTCACATATAGTTTGCTCAATAAAATTGATAGAACTTAAGGTTGTACCAGTCCCTGAGAGACGATACCCGGACTTTCCGGTTTACTACGAGATAGGAAATTGGCATATACGCTTTTGCCCTACCAAGTTTTTGGCGCCGTTGCCGGGGACTGCCATACCTTATTTTTGTTGATTTTTGTGAGTGAACTATTTTGATCTGGGTGTTAGTGTGCAGATTAATTTTCAGGTTTATCCTCCTCGTGCATGCCTAGGAGGACGACTGGCAATTTACTGCCACTAGACCCGGAGATCGAGAAGACCTGCCGACAGAACAGGAAGCAGGTCAAGTTAGGGAAGCAGCCAACCACAACCACTATGCCTTCCCTAACCCAAAGAGGGTATGTTTCATCACCTGTCGTCCCTACACCACCACCACCACCTCGTGACATTGAGCATGTCATCATGGAAGACGAGGATCGTTCAATCAGGGCTCGTCTGAATCGAAGTACTGGAGCCCGGGCTTCATGTGTTTTCATTCCGGCTAGGGATGCAACCATGGAGATTACCCCAGCATTTATCAACATGATCACCAATGGGTATACTTTCTCTGGGGCTAGCAATGAGGATCCTCACGAGCATCTCCGTCGGTTCGCGAGCATTTGTGATACGATGAAGAGGCCGACTGTGTCTGATGATGCAATCCGTCTTCGGATGTTCTCATTCTTCCTGATAGGGAATGCATCACAGTGGTTTCAGAACTTAACACCACGTTCCATCACGAC